GACGAATTTAATTTGCAATTGGATCAAAGATGGTGACTGGCAGGCATCTTTGTTTTTGTTTTTTTATGCAGTATCTTGGACGTGCTCTGTCAGTTTTCATTCAAATTTAGCACATACATGTACTTCATACATGTTAGGATGCATGTGCATGACAATTTGTTTCAAAATCTGGTCAACGATGGCTGATTGACAGCCGTCTGACTTTTTGGCCTTACTACTATATTTCCACAATTTATGTACCATTTTCATTCGTATTTGGCACATACATCATACATATCAGTGTGTTTCATAATCAGATCAAAGATGGCCAAATAATGGCTGTTTTTATTTTTGGCCATATTACTACTACACGGAACACGTGTTTTGATGTAAATAAACAATCTGTTGTATACGCCACCTGGAAGTTTCAAGGACACGCTCGCGACAACCCCTCCGCTTTAATATGACGAGCACAAAGATAACTTTCAAAAATTTAATGGGGACTGTGTCATTTTCAACGACATGTTAAATTTTTCCAGTTTGCCACCAAATTTTTTTTCTTGGTTGCCAATTGCCAATTTGAAGTCTGATTCGGGAGTTCAGAATTGTCTGTATAAGGACGTTTCTAATTTTATATCTACTAAGTAGTCCAGAATTGACTTTATTTGGAAGGTCCTAGTTTTATCTCTACTAAGTAGTCCAGAATTGTGCTTATTGAGAATTCCTAATTTCATCTCTAGTAAGTAGACCGGAATTGTCTTTATTAGAAAATACATCATGTTTATTCCTTTCTATGTTGCAGCAACCACAGTATTGTAATTGCAGCAGATGATAGCGTCATCAGCTGGGGTCCATCCCCGACATACGGTGAACTCGGCTACGGTGACCATGGGGCGAAGTCTTCCACTCAACCCAAAGAAATTAAACTACTCGATGGAATCAATATACATTCTGTTGCGTGCGGATACGGCCACACTTTAATGATAGCGAGGAACGATTCGGACGAAGACACAAACAGCATCAACAAATTACCTGAGTTTTCAGTCAAGGCTGAGAACTGATCTACTGTTTACTCGCACTGTTTAAAGTGCGATTTGGTATTTAAACATTCGAACTTTTATTTTTATTATGCATTACAATTCTTTGAACCAGTTGAACTTTGTACATATACATTTGCCAAACAATTCATAATCATCAACAGTTTCTTCATACGTCTTGTTACCTTCTCTGCTCCGATACTTTGCCCTCGTTTATCAAGTTGTCGCTGTGGTTGGTGGCGGCCGTATTTCACACTCAAGAGAAGATCTGGGCAATGTGTACCACCAGCATTATTAGATTGGAAGACAAGAGTGAAAAAGAAAAAAATTGATGATATTTTAAAAATTTTTAAGAAATTCACTTGCAGCTTGATATGGTTTGTTTATTTGTCTAATATTGAATGCGAGTTGTATTACAAACGGAATTTATGTTGGTTGTTTTACAAATGAATCTTGATGTAAATGAATAGGTACTCTGCCGTGATTCATAATGGATGGAAACATGCTGTATGATATGAAAGTGCGTATTGTGATTCAGCTCATTATCTGCCATATTTGGGAATTGGGATGCGTAATGTATCATGAATGATGCCAGTGATTTTAATGTTAAAACTACGATAATTCAAAGAAATTTCCAAAAACCGGGCTGATCTGGTATCATTTAAAACAGGATTGTATTCAAGCATCGATGTTGGCATTGTTCAATGGCGTACTCAAAATATTGTTATGAAGTTGACGAACATTGTCAGTTTGTGATTTATCAAGAAATGAAATAACTACCTCCTATTAGAAGTGCATCTCGTAAATCTAAAATATACATTTATTGTGTGCGGTATTATTAAATATGATTTATTTTTAACCACATCTTTTATTTTACTGCTAATAAAGAAAATACAGTAGTTAGAATTGTCAAGTTCTGTAAAGTAGCACAGCATAGTGAGTTCAATGAGAAAAGGAAAACTGACGAGTTGAGTGTCATCTTGATGATGATCAGATTGCGAGTGCTATTTTAGCGGCTTGTAAACCGTACATACTGCGAGACAGAAGTTTATAATATTCAATGTCTTTAGTTTATGGATGGTTTGATTATTTGTCCCCCCTTTCCCATCTCATTTACATATCTAGTTACACACATACCATACAATGAGCGATGTTAAGTAGTTTGCTTGGAAACCCCCCCCCCCCCCCAAACAACTTTGATAGCCCCTGGCATTTTTTATTACTGAGCAGAATGTTATTTCTCCCAGCAGTTCTTTACGTACCAGATGTTATCAGCATTGAACAGTGGTTTGGCTCTCTGGAATAAAGAATTGTTAACAGGATTAAGTCGGCTTATTTTTTCACTAAAGTTGTCAAAGTACAGCGCTTAGTGGAGTGCATGACATGTGTAATTGTAGTCTTTATCCAAGACAAAAGATGAGTTTCCTAAATGTAGTCACTCGTCAAACCTTGCACTCGTAACTGATGGCAATGTAGAATTTGTCTTGAATCTTAATTTTTATTATCATGCTAGAAGAGTCGAATGAATCTTTGAAGACCATATTTATAAAATGATTACGTTGGAATCTAAAAAAAATACACTTTCATTTGCTTATTTGAATCACTATGGTAATTCCTGTTACACTAAAGGCTTTGTGATTCATTCATTCATTCATTCAGTCAGTCAGTGCCAAAGTTGTCAACTGTCATTCAAAATTTATTAAATATTTAATATTTTAAATAAAAATATTCATAACTTTTGTAAAATTTACTGTATTTTGCCATTATGACTCACAGGTTTACCTACAGGCTGTTAATTGTAACAGACGATATGATAACTCGTATTCAAGTCCTAGAGAAATACAATTTTTGGAATTTGCATCAAAAGAATTTTCCAGTTAAATAGACTTGGTTGACATCAATAGAACCAGCCAGTGCAGAGCAATGTTGCCAGGTTTGACTTGTGTTTAATGCTACTTCATATGCTGTAAAATACTTTATATTCACTAAAGGAATTATCCAGTGAAAATAAAATCCAATGAATATACTTCACATCAACATCATCACAGTGGATGTTTGGAAACTTTCAATTTTACTAACAGAAACGAGTGACTGTTATTAGTAAGGGATGGAAGAAGGTACTAGTAAATGTTTCCCCACATAGGAAATTTATTGTATGCTATCTGCAACAAATATTAACTTAAATTCTCCAGTCTTGGCAAAAATACTGAGATTACCACTATATTAAAAAAATCATTGCTATAGAAATTCACAAGCGAAATTGGCCAAAGATTAAAACTTGTTTTTCCTCTGAATCAATCTTCTGTTTGTAATATTTCTAAAAATGTACGATGTGAAATCATTTCTTGATTCTTAAGACTTCACAAAGATTTTTATCATATACCACATCAGTTCCTAACGGAGTCTTATAATAATTTTTGAAATTATTTTTACTCCATGATTGCTTTAATGCCCCGCGGTTGGTTTCTGATTCGCATATTGATTCGCATTATTTAGCACTCTTATACGAGTCCTTAATATTTCCTCATCCTTGTGTCTGGAATTTGGGGGTGACAATGTTATTGTTCACATGCTTGGTATGGGGCCTTGATGCTCCATATTAGGATAATTATTCACATGCTTGGTATGGGCCTTGATGCTCCATTATTCACATGCTTGGTATGGGGCCTTGATACTCCAGATTAGGATAATTAACATGCTTGGTATGGGGCCTTAATACTCCATGATAGGATAATTATTAACATGCTTGGTATGGGGCCTTGATGCTCCATATTAGGATCCATTATCCCACATGCTTGGTATGGGGCCTTAATCCATATTAAGATCCATTATCCCACATGCTTGGTATGGGGCCTTGATCCATATTAGGGTTCATTATTCACATGCTTGGTATGGGGCCTTGATCCATATTAGGGTTCATTATTTCACATGCTTGGTATGGGGCCTTGATCCATATTAGGGTTCATTATTCATATGCTTGATATGGGCCTTGATCCATATTAGGGTTCATTATTCACATGCTTGGTATGGGGCCTTGATCCATATTAGGGTTCATTATTCACATGCTTGGTATGGGGCCTTGATCCATATTAGGGTTCATTATTCACATGCTTGGTATGGGGCCTTGATCCATATTAGGGTTCATTATTAACATGCTTGGTATGGGGCCTTGATCCATATTAGGGTTCATTATTCACATGCTTGGTATGGGGCCTTGATCCATATTAGGGTTCATTATTCACATGCTTGGTATGGGGCCTTGATCCATATTAGGGTTCATTATTAACATGCTTGGTATGGGGCCTTGATCCATATTAGGGTTCATTATTCACATGCTTGATATGGGGGTTTTGATTCATATCAACAATCTCTCACGCTATAACATTGACTGGTGTCGGCAATTCTAATGTAATGTTGAATGTGGGGAGTGAGTTGTATCATGGATGAATCTAACATGATTGCACGTTCAATTATTGAAAAAGAAGTATTGTAGAACATTTCACTTAATTTGTTCACGGTAGAAGTGATATGTGAAGGGCAGTAAGAAGAGCAGAGATGGAACTCAGAAAATCTTTCCAATTAGCAAATTCTCAGAATGTAATTTTAATTAATATTTAACAATTTGAAAGAAAAAGTTTGCTTTTTTCTTTGTGCAGTGCCACGATGACGCACAATGTGAATTTTGATGTAAATATTCCATATTTTAAAATTGAAAAAAGAAAAAAAAATGTGCAGTTTGATTTTCTGGTTTCAGCATTCTCAAACCTGCTGTTGTATTTTATGGGAAAACATGTTGATATTTTGATGATGGAATACACAAAATTTTGACATACCCATTTCATGCTTTTTGAACACTTGTTTCATGATGGAAAAAAGTTTTTGAACTCTGAAAATGGGATATTTTCATCTTCAGAAATCTATAGCTATTTTACCAAAATTGCTGGATGCGATTGCACTATTCATGAAGTTTATGGTTGTTATTTTTGGTTAAAAATCTCTATCTAGTTTAGTTCTTCAGTCCCAAAACTGTTGACAGTCGCCTCTGGAATGGTATTGAATGTACAAATTGTCATTGTACCCTATAGCGTGCCTCCAGAAACCAACATTCCGTAGGCGAGTCAACAATATATGCAGTCCCTATTCTACCTCGATAGCAGTGTACATACTTTTTAATAATGGCCAGTTTGTACCCATGTACTGTAAAATCTGTATTAGAGGCTACATTTTCTATTAAAATGGTAGAATGCGGCTTCTATTAGAGCATCTACACTTATGAGAAATGATGAATTTTTGATTCTCTATTTAAAAATAGTGCAACTTTTATTAGGGATGCGGCTTCTAATACAGATTTTACGGTATGTACCATATTTCCTCTATTAGTAGTGCATGTCCTTATGTAAACGCCAGAAGTATGGAAATGCTTAAGTCATATTTTAATGATATGCATAACATACATGAAAGTATTAGTTAACATGCGCTTCTAATGGAGCAAGTACAGAAATTTTAAAATTTATTGTTGAACAAATTTTTTGAAACAAGTTTAATTTTTTGATCTATAACAAAGGTTGATTTTGGCACACAAAGAATTCTTGATTGGGATTTTCTAGAATACATGTTTTAATGTGTGTAGAAGAGCTTCGATCATATTACTTTTAAGAAATTATAATTGCAAATGTTTTTTGCTGTAAACAGTCCAGAATTTGCGAAGTTCTGGGTATGCGATGAGCAATTGAATATCTTATTTGGACCAAAAACTGTTTTACATTAACTCTCCTGTGTGGATTTCATGTAGCAGGATTCACTCAGTGCGTGTAAGGAAACATTTGCTTTAATAGAGTGTCATATTTGCTTCCTTACATGCAGTTCTTTGTATTTCACCTTGTGTAATAGTTCAAGTTACCAATAAAAGTTTGAGAACTCAAGATAAGTCTGTGATTTGTTATTTCCTGACTGGTGGCCATTTTGTTTCAACAAAGTCTGTTCCAGAGACAATTTGTTACCTTGCTCATGAACTAATGCACTGAAAACAGACAGGGACTATGTCACTTTTTAGCTCCGCTGTCGACTTTGTATCATACGAGTGATTGTCCGTTGTCTTCCGTGTCAACTTTTTACTTTTTCGACTTCTTGGAAACTACAAGCCTGAATGCTTTGATACTTGGTGTATATGTACCTTGGGTAGACCTCTCTCAGATTTGTTCATGATGATATCTTTAATTATCTAATTTTGAATATTTTTGGTAAAATGTGATATTTTCGACTTGTTAAAAACCACAAGTCCAATTGTTTTGATATTACATATATAGGTACTACATGTGGACCTCTCCCAAATTTGTTCATTTCGTGATATCTTCAATTCTCTAATTTTGGTGAATATTTTTGTAATTTTTTGTAAAAAGTGATATTTTCGACTTCTTGTTAAAAATCACAAGTCGAATTGCTTTGATACTATACATGTAGGTACCTCAGGTAAAGCTCAGATTTGTTCATTTCGTGATATCTTCCATTATCTAATTTTAATTATTTTTGTCATTTTTGATAAAAACTGATATTTTCGAATTCTTGTTTGAATTGCTTTGACACTATACATATTGTTAATTTTCTAATGATATCTTCAGTTCTTTAATTGCAATGTGTATTGCTAACAGTGGGAACTATCTCAGCTGACAGGCTGCTTGTTTATTTCTGGTTTGTGGAATTGGAGGGTCAAACATTAGATATAGAAAAATACAACTTTGATTTGCAACTAGTTATGATAACTCACTGGCCTGCTGACTCAACAGGAAATCAAACCTTGATATAGTGATCTCCATAGTTATGGAATTTGTAATTCACATTTTACCAGTAATGCAACTGTAAATACGAAGGAAATACAATACAGCCACCAGTCGCATACAATTTCATTTTTTCATGAAGACAGTCCCAGCAGTCAACAAGCAGAGATTCTATTTTGATTCAAGATTCTTACAAAATCAGTCCTGCTAGAGGGCACGCTGATTCTAACGAATTTGGTTGATTTCGCAAATAGAGTGCACGTGTTCAGCCCAGTAATGTTCTGCGAGATGATGGGGTTTGGCTTTATCAGGGAACAAGTCAGTGTAATTGTCACAAGTCATTAATGATAAACATCACTACTAGTGAGATTCACAATTGTAACACCACTTTTACGCTTACCATTGCATACAATTAACATACATAAAAATCTTTTGGAGTAAATTTTAAATTCTGGCGCTTTATTTTCTGCACCATATTTTATTTACAGTTAAAATGGTTTCCATGGTAAAATGAGCATGTTAAAATTGTTAGCAGATTTACAAATAACGATTTATGTTGATTAGAAGTAATGAAAAATTAAAACTGGAAAAATTAACTCTAAAAATATGTATCAACTAAAAAACATTGCATATATACACTGAGCAATGAGGGCGCTGTTGTCTGGCATGAAAGTGAGTCAAAGTCTTCTATGAACATCAATAGCGCCCTCTGTGACCAATCAATAAAACACAACTCTACCACATAATTAATTATGACAAGGGATGTTCATTACATGAGTCAAGAAAAGAAAAGTCTAAAACTATGAATGCATACTTTCTAAAAAAAATTGGGGCTGGCAGTACAAAATTTTTAGGAACAGTGAAGTTACCCAGTCTATCATGATTAGATTTAAAACATACAAAAATAAGAAATGTTTTGAAGAAATGTAATTTGCATAGTAAATTATTGGGAGCATAATTATTCGACCAAGATTATATTGCTTCAAATATACAGCGCCCTCAGGAGGCCCGATAAAAAATTAAAAATCACAGTTAAGTCAAAACTCTTCACGAGCAGTATTTATTCAGTTCAGCTCAGCTCAGCTAAAAAACATACTTCTTGTCTTCTGTTTCACCTTGCACTTGAACTCTCACATATCTTGTATGTAATAGTCAAAAACACATCAGGCAGTGGGTTCTCCTCTGACCAAATCATACATCATATTTGTCATTTCACAAACGATTTATAACCTTGATAAAGTTCATGTACTCTCATCACTTGTATTGAACATCTAATATTCAAAATAATTGAATTATTTTCTCAGTTTTAAGGGGTCCATGTTCTTTAAATATGCTTAAAAGGGCATGGAACAAAACGTTGCACACTGCATTGATCATACCCCTCCTATTCAAGTGGGGAATCCCTAATACAGTGTTATCATACACGTTACATATTGAAAACCATCTGCACAGAAAATATTCATCCCTCCCACACGAATGGCATTTACATTTTCTCTTTGATCTTGATTTCTTCCTGGAGATCCACCATTGAGGAATGTACTGTTCACCAACAGCATCAAATGAAAACATCAGCAATTCATGTCTTGATTACATAATTTCTTTGGACCGGTGAGTCCCCACCTACTGCCGCAGCTTGGTTACAGCTAGAGATCACTCTGTCTTGATGGATTGTTTATAAGATATTTCTGAGCTTTGGTGACAACCCAGTTATAGCGTACAAGAATCTGCCGACATCGTCTATCATCCCCCAGATGTTGATCCATCAGCTGTCTCACTTTAATATCCTGCACGGATAGTTCCACTTCCCAGTTGTTGCATTTCAATGCTCTTACGATTTCTAGAATTGATACCTATAAGGATGAGATAGTGAATTATTTGTATGACAATAGCTTCAGGAATGCTTTAGAAGTTAAAAGTCCTAACCCTAGGAGTTATTTTATATTTATTTAGCTAGACTAATCTATTCAGCAACATATTGTAGATCTAACAATACAGCCTTGTTTTTAGTTGCTTACAATCTCGGCAGGGTACTCAAAATCTCTACAAGAAGGTACTTGGAATTCCTATCGGGTACTTGGCATGTCTACTGAATACTTGAAATCTCTACAGAGTACTTAAAATTACTACAGGGTACATGAAATCTCTACTGGGTTACTCAGAATCGCTACTGGGTACTTGGAATCTCTATCAGGTACTTAGTATGTCTACTGGGTACTTGGAATCTGTACTGGGTACTTGGAATCTGTACTGGGTACTTGGAATCTCTACTGGGTACTTGGAATCTCTACTGGGTACTTGGAATCTCTACTGGGTACTTGGAATTACTACAGGGTACACGAAATCTCTACAGGGTACTCCGAATCTCTACTGGGTACTCGGAATCTCTACTGGATACTTGGAATCTCTACTGGATACTTGGAATCTCTACTGGGTACTTGGAATCTCTACTGGGCACTTGGAATCTCTACTGGGCACTTGGAATCTCTACAGGGTACTTGGAATCTCTACTGGGTACTTAGAATTTCTACACAATACTCGGAATTTCTACAGAACACATGGAAACTGTACTTGATACTTAGATCCTCACCTCATCCTTTAATGCAGACTTCACTTCCTGTACTTCCTTACAGTTATCTGCCCATTCCATATTATTAAGTGCCTTTGAACTGTGTTTTCCCGTCATGTCCATATATCCTTCATCCGTATCTTTTTTGACTTCATTATTAACAGATAATTTTTCCGCAGATCCTGTTCGATGTGACAGACGATACTTCGGAATGTGATGAAGAAATATCTGAAATGAAATAAGATCAGAACTGCTCGTCAGTAATCATATTGATTTAATTTAACTAAACACTAATCACATTTGATTTACCTAATCATACTGATTTTATTTACCTAATTACATTGATTTTATTCATCTAATCACTAATCAGATTGATTTAATTTACCTAATCACTAATCACATTGATTTGATTCACCTAATCACTAATCACATTGATTTGATTCACCTAATCACTAATCACATTGATTTGATTTACCTAATCACTAATCACATTTATTTGATTTACCTAATCACTAATCATAAAGTTTTGATTTACATAATCACTAATCACATTGTTTTGATTTACATAATCACTAATCACATTGATTTGATTACCCAATCACTTATCACATTGATTTGATTCACCTAATCACTAATTACATTGATTTGATTTACCTAATCACATTGATTTGATTACCTTATCACATTGATTTTATTCACCTAATCACTAATCACATTGATTTGATTCACCTAATCACATTGATTTGATTCGCCTAATAACTAATCACATTGATTTGATTACCTTATCGCATTGATTTGATTCACCTAATCACTAATCACATTGATTTGATTCACCCAATCACTAATTACATTGATTTGATTTACCTAATCACATTGATTTGATTCATCTAATCACTAATTACATTGATTTGATTTACCTAATCACATTGATTTGATTCATCTAATCACTAATTACATTGATTTGATTTACCTAATCACATTGATTTTATTCATCTAATCACTAATTACATTGATTTGATTTACCTAATCACATTGATTTGATTCACCTAATCACTAATTACATTGATTTGATTTACCTCGTCATATATACACTTATTTATTTTAATTGGAACCCTCTGAGCACCAAAGTCAACTTCAGTCACCATTCACAAAATAGTTCTATTTATAGTCTCCTTTTTCCTACATAACATTTTGACAAAAGTTATGAATTTTTTGATCAAACCTAGAAGTAATGTCACATTTTGTTTGTTTGGTCCAAAATTAAGATTGAATTCAGTGGAAAGTATAGAAAATATGAACCCAAATTAGGTGCTCAAAGGGTTATTCAGATCAACAGGTAACGAATCGGATTACAGATCTGGAAGCCCCAGCTCTTACAAAAGCTGTTTTGACAGAAAGATGATCTTGTGGAGATCTGATACTCTCTGTAATAAGAATGCCTGACCGGATCTTTAACATACACTTAGGACATGAACAATACACACAAGCCAGGTGGTCTATTTATACTGACATGAAGCCAACTGAGAAGATCAACAGCGATTCTGATGCAAGACAAACATGTCCAGATTTGAACTGGTTATGGGATAAATCGTTACCTTGACCATCTTTTAATTTATACGTTCTTTTCAGGACATCATTTAAACTTTCAGCTGGACCAAGTGCACCATCTAAAATATCATCTAACTCATCTTCGTAACTTTTGCAACGTTTGGGGACACCGTCGTTTACAACTTGCAATGATTGTCCGTGTATGTCTGTGGTGGTTTGACTCCGTGTACGGAACTCACTCTTACTATCCATATTCTGCAAGGAGGGGTTCGTGTGACTTCTCGTTAGAACTTTACGATCTAAACTTAATGTTTTTTGATTACTTTTTATATTTTGATAATTTTCTTTGTCTTTTTTCAAGTGTCTGCGAATTTCTTCTGGTGAGCTTCGAACCACGTCACTGTCTGATGTGATGTCTAGAGAAGCGCTTTTTTGATGTAAAAATTTTGTCCGAAGTTCGGAGTTAGTAATCGGGGATGTACTCAAGAAGGGACTGGAAGCTGATTGGGATGAGACTGGAGTATCTGGAGTCCCAGGATCAGATTCAGAATAAAGCAGCGAGCTAGCAGAAGAAGAAGACTTTGTAGGCGACGATTTACCACTTTGTGACTTTGAACTTTTGCGTGATCTTCGCTTCTTCGGCCATTGAGGGTTAAGCGGCATTCTGGGAGGAACAGCGGGAATTGAAATCATTTCATAGTCCTAGAAAAAATTAGTGTAACATAAATAATTTGATATTTTCACAGAAGGACAGAATGTGGATAAGAAGCAGGCAATGTGAACGTGGAAAGAAGGAACAGAAGGGTCTGATAAAAAAAAAAACTGGAACTTACAAAGGAATGTCGCCACTATGCTGACTGCAGTTGAAAGAGAGAAAAAACAAGAGGGACAAGAAATTGTGATTAAATTTACTGTTTTTAAAGCAGTCTGGTTAGTAATTATAACTGATAAAGAAAATGGAAGAACAGATAAGATAAATGGAATTGTTAAGATGTAAAGCAGAGATGAATGTTGCAAAAATAAAAAAAAAAGGTGGCGCAATTATAAGACAAGACTCACTGCATATAAAATAAAGCGGCGTAGTCATCATGCAATGGCATATACAATGCTTGTTTACATACACTTCAACAACAATAATTAATTAACACTCAAAGCGACACTGCTGTCAGAACTGCCCATTAAATGCTCTTCTGTTTTGTGATTGGTCGTTGATGACATCACAGGTTATACGCAGTTCAAAACATAAACACTGGTTTACAGTTGTAACTAGTATTTATCATCACAGAAAACATGTCTAAGCATGACACAAATTGTTGACAAATTTACTAGCTTATCTGCAAATGTCCAACTGGCTTTTAGGGTGGCTGCTATCAATATGTAAACATTCATTGTTGTGTGGTTCCCTCATATGAACACCCACAGTTTTGACAGTGTCATTTTTGCCATCAAAATCCCTTTTTCTAGTTTCATTCACCACTTACTTTATGATCATCTGACAGTTTTAAGTCAGCTACCAATACTAAACATCATGACACAATGGATTTGATTTTTGAGTGAAAATCCTGACAACACTGTCAATTGTTTTTTTACTTTTTGGTTGACAGAGTCATCCACAGTTCAAATGTCTCTGGCCAACCTCTATTTCCAACACAAGAGTAGATTTGATAAAGTTACGAAATTGAAGAATTTTAATTTTTTGACACTGTGAAATAAATCAATAACAATATTCATAATGAACTCGTGATTAGGCGATACAATTTTGCATATTTCATAATGGTAGATGAAACTGACAAGAATGGGTGCATGTAATGACATGAATCAGTGCGAATCCAAAAAAGTCAGGCTATCTTTTATAATGCAAACAAACATGCCATTGCACAACATACAGAGCAAGTAGACAAACAAATGCAAAGTGATGTTCTCCACACAAAACAAAATAGAAACTTGATATTATCAGTCATATAAGGTCATGTGATTGGGAAAAATCCAGTTTGTAAGCTCATTCTGGATACATTGCAGCTGTTAAGATTCATGTCCATCCAGGGCCCTGAATGAAGTACAGATCGGATCAGATCATTTGACCAATCAGAAATCTTCTTACACACTGAAATGCATTAATTACTGTAAAGGGATTAATTATTAACTGGGTTTTAATTTGGCTTATTTCGCTGACTGGAAAATGCGCTAAATTAAAACCCAGTGAATATGTAAAAATTAGCATAGAACACATTATCTAAATGATAAAACCGTGAATTTAAAATCCAAGAATATGCCTGAAATGGCAAATCAGTGAAATTTAAACCCAGTGAAAATAGTCATT